TTGTTCTTTTGAAGCTCGTAGCTTGAAAGCGTTAACTATGTGAATCACAAAGCCCTCTCCTCTGTTCCCAGACAGCCTTATCCCTAACTCCTTGTTACTTTTTTTAAAGTGATAAAATAGACATTTTTACAGAAAGACCTCCTCTTATCTCAGAATATCAGACTAATGGTGAAGCCATCAGTCACATCTATTGGGGAGAAATTACAGCAGGCAGGAATAAAGGGGGGTAATGACCAGCAGAGGAAGCTTCGCAAACAAGCAAACAATTACCTTGAGAGAGGCACGGCACTCTTTCAACACTAACTGCCCGTCTCAAGGGGAGAAAGCATGTTTAGGAAAGAAAAGAAAGCACAACAAAACCTCCTCGCCTTGCCTCCAGTTTTAAAGACGTGTCCTTTTGATACCCAAGGCAAAGGAGCGTGCAAATGGAACCAGCATGCCCACCTTCCCAAGTGCTATACTTAAGGTGCCTCAAGCACGCGATTCTTTTATAGCCATATTCCACTCTGGTAAACTAATCATTCCAGATTGCTGTTGAAAACACATCTGTAAAAGAGGATTATTAAAAACTAGACAAGTAAAGACAAACCTGTGTCTTGCCTTCTGCATGAGGCAACATGGTATAGTGAGCAAGGACTGAGGATAGAGGAAAAAAACCAAACACACCATTAGACTATTTCATTCAGTCAAATCCTAATAAGTTTCCACTCCTGCTGTTTTCTAAATATACCTGGGTATACCTGAACCTGGCCTTCAATAATTAAGACCACTTTTTATAAAGTATCTGTTTAGTCTTAACGAAACAAAAAGAAGTGTTTATGTAATTTTCGAAGGGTAAGGAAAATTTAGTAAATGCATTATAAACTCACTTTTGCTTTAGCACTCTGTGATCAATTAGTCCTTCTTCATTTTCAGTTGAGCACAGATATTTTTTCTGCTCCACAGGACCAGAAGAATTTAACATTTGTCTGTCAGTAGCCCTGAGAGAAAAAAAGGGGAAAAAAAAAAAAAAGAAAAAAAAAAAAGGATTTTCCATTGTCAAGTTTTGTGCAGTTTATAGAAAAAGAGGTATTTCAGGGTTCTAAAATACCAGTGGCAGAAATAGAAAAGGAGAAAAATTAACATATTGAATAGTCATGATTTTACATGATGCTAATATCTCTTAGCCAATCTCCCGGTTCAATTATCAAACTCTGACAAGTTAAAAGGAAAACTGTAAATAATACTGCCTAGTGATATCCTAATTACCACAAAGTTACAAAACCCAAGAAAATAAACCTTCTCAGGGTTGCAGGGTAACTGCCATCTCCATAGCCTGGCATCTCCTAATCTCTGGGAATAACTAACCATTACAATATGCAAGGGGTGGGGTGAAAGAGTGAGTTACACAGTGTTGTAAGGCAGTTTGTATTCAACTTGAACACTTGTTTTTTCTGGAGGTTAAGTCCATCTTGAACCTTCAAGTCAGCTTTGCATTACTTCAACCACTCTAGAAGATCCCCTAATGCCACCTGGTCTTACATCCCACTGTTCCTGGGTTTTTTGCTTCAACTCTAGTCCGTCAGTAGCACCAAAAACTCCAGATATCCACTTTGCTACGTGCCAGTCTAAATGGCTTTCCATTTAACCTTTGCGTCCACCTCTCTCCCTCCTTATTTTCATTACTACTTCTCCTTTTGTTGGCAGAAGTCAACATCAACAGCTTTACCCTGCACTGGGGGAAAGGCAGAGTTAAGATAGGGGCTACTATTATGCTGCCAAGAATTCATGGCAGCTCTCAACCTTTTTTTTTTTGGGGTGGGGTGGGGTGGGGCATAGCTTCCTTTCTGTACCTCATCTCTTCAGAACCTCTGAACTCCAAAGATGTTTTCTAAACTGTTCCAGCCTCAGCTGCACTCACATATGAAAGGCTGTTATTGGAAGTGACATTAATGTTTTTCAGCTACCCAGTTAAAACCAGAAAAATCCAGTATGTTCTCTCTGTGGCTCCTAGGGACAACTGATCTTGGAATTGGAAAGCATCTTGATATTTATCTGGTAACATCTGTGTGAGCTGCTCATAGGCACATAAATGCAGTTGCTACTGCATGACGCAGAATGCTTCCACCTTGTCAGTGACAGACACAAGATGCTATTTCTGTGTTCTAATCCAAACCGCTGGAGATGTGAAAGGACACTGAACGTGACTTACAAGTCCATTACTTCCATGCAGAAAGCATTCACCCTACCATACTCAAAACTCCATGTCCAACCAACAACTTTATTTCTGTTCTAGCAGAGAAGTGAGCTGAGCACAACTCACACACAGTTAGAAGATGTGCTAAGGACATCAGGATAAAGAGGTGGCCAGACAGGAGGGCACCAACAAGCACTGGGGAGAGCATTCATGTGAGAAATACAACAGGGAAATACTGCTGACAGCTCTTGGAAGCTCCACATCAGTTTCAGCTGACCCAGAAGGAGTTGGCTATGGTGCTGCTTTTTCCCCTGCCCCGAGCAACACCATCTCCACCCTGGCCCTGGCAGGGTGAGCTAGTTCTAGGAACCAGCCTGACTGAGAAATAATTCTGCAAAACAGTAAAGGTGGGTGGTTTTCACCTGGGCTCAAGCACCACAGCAGACGGGCTAGGAACACACAGACTCAGTTTTCACAGTTGTCCCATGCCGCCGTTGGACCACACACTCAGCTATGGATGCTACTAACAGTGAACCTGAGGGCAGTGACTTTGTTCATGCAACCAAGACTGCAATGCAACCTAATGTCTCATTAGGATGTGGAGTTCTGATGAAACGTGAGTTCATTTCACGTACATAGTGGATCTGTGAATTTCTGGTTTTGTCACATATTCTGTTCCTCTGTGTCAAAGCAGCTTGCAAAGAAAATAATTTTATTACATTACTTCAAAATGGTGTCTCATACACTTTATTCTAGTCATGAGTCCCTGAATTATGTCAAAAGACATTATTCTTAGAGGACTTTGTTCAAGACGTACTGAACAGACAAAATATTTCAAACTACATCACTAAGACAAACACTCCAGAGTTAAGAAGTGACAGCTACAGCTACCTGCATATGAGAATACAGCTTTTATTTTTATAATAAAATACTATTTTTACTGCAGGAGCATCATTCTATACCCCAAATGTACAGAACATGTTGATTTTTTTTTTTTACTCATCCTAAAATACATGACTGAATGCATTTCTTAAATGTACTTGAGTTTTATTCTGTGATTGTTGACTCTGACACAGCAAGTGTTTTAGAAACAGCAGCTTATTTACCTAACTTCCCAGGAAATAGAAGAATACCAGCATCTCATTTTCCAGGCAAGAAGACTAGGTACGAAAAGACTGAAGTAAATTATTTTCACTAATATTTGAGATTTCCAGCATTTGGGGTTTTTAGGAGTCTGCAGAACTTCACAGGAAAGCCATGCCCTCGCACTACAACAACTGCATGCTCTTTGTAAGACAGTAAGGCCTGACTTGCAGGACTTGAGAAGTACACAGGGAGCAGTCTCACTTGAGACGCAGTTTAGCCAAACGTCCCTGACAAAGTCAAGGATGAAATCTAAATATCCAAAGCAGCATTCAAACTGCCCTAAGCATAAGAACATATTTTCTTCTTCTGAAATCCCCTGCTAAAATCACTATGTATCTGCCGCACTTTGGATGAAGTACAGGGCCCGCATACAGTAGTCTTCACAGCAGACACCTGCTCTACCTCCAAAGAGGGAGCTTCCTATAAATCAAGTGAGGCAGGAGCCTGGTGCAGAGAACCAAGACCGGGTGCGATTGCATACTTCAGGTCTATGATAAATCATACACGCAATGACATAGTCTTCTTCCTGCATGCCCCCTTCCCTCCAATGATGCAGGACCATTTACCCGAGGGGTTTCATAAATACTTCCATAAGGACAAGAGGATGTAGCCATGTGAGCCGTTTAGTTCCACTCACGAGCGCAATTTGGTTGGAAATAACCCAGTCATCACCATTTACCATGCTTTGGCTTGCACTGTGGAGTCATCTCAGAGTTCACAACCTGGACTCCTTCTGGCTGAAAGCAAATGCTGCAGAGAATGCTCTACAGATCTACTCCCACAGGGCTACTACTGTGTACCAATGCAGGCTTTAGTGCTAGAGTCCTTTCCTTCAAAAAAAGAGCATTTTGCATGCATGGCAAGCCATTCTCTACTGTCAGAATTCTTGGGCTTAGAAGAGACCACTCTGAGAGCTCAGGATGTCTCTGCTCAGCCAAAACAGCCAGCAAAAATAATCCTGCAAGAATTACAATAGATCAGAATGGAGGGGAGGGATGGGGGGGACCAACCAACCAACCCCAAACCCTGCAACCAACCCACATCAAAACACCCAACCAAAAAAAACCTACAACCTCTGCCTCCCCCCACCAAAAAGAAACCCCCAAAAACCAGCCAACCAAGAAGTAACACTGCTCAACCAAGAGCCAGAACACGCCCAGTGAAGACAGTCTCTGTGGAATTTGTTTTCTACAAATCTATCTAGTTCCACACAGTGGAATTATTAAATGCTTACACCTAGAGCAAATTCAGAGCTTCCTTCAAGAGACTGAATTTAAATACACCTGTGACAAAAACCCTATCTCTGGCTAAATCACGATTTTACTCCAAGGCTTGCAAACATTTAGAAGTGCTTCAAAAGCTTAATATCACAAATAGAGAAAGTTTTAGCTATAGTGGAAGTTTGACGATGCTTCATCCAAATGAAAACTAGGTCCTAGAACTGGAAATGAAGAGCAGTTTAAATTAATTAATGGTGGTGTTCAGGAATATTGATGCCCTGTTTAAAATCACAAGGTAATCACCTTATTTTGCATTTCACATATTGTTAGAGATATTCAAAATATAAAAACCAGTTACAACTCACAGCTGTAGAGCTAGTAAATGCCAGTTTTAAAATGCTGTGAAAAGAATACAACTATACCCAGACTGATATTTTCTGTGCCAAGTACAAACTCACCCACTGATTACTTCTGCAAATTTTGGAGAAGCTGTTTCACAACGGCATGTAAGGGATTCTAGCCCACTTTTTTGTTGCTGATATTTATTTATCAGGTCCATCAGCACTGCCTGGTGCCCAATCTTCTTTACCAGCTGCTGCACCATACGATCATTAAGAGCCAGAAGAGCTGCTCCATTTACTTCTTCTTCTGCAGGTTGACAGGGATTAAAGAATTACTGTAAAATAACTTTATAGTTACAATATGATTCTGTATGCCTAAAAACATGATGATGGAGGACAGGTCAAAGGCAAGGATGCTTTCTACTGCTGACGGTATTCGTCAACTGTTAAAAAGATGATGTTTTAGCTACTGTCCTTTCCCAGGCAGTGCCAGAAGTCCTACTCACTGGCCAGACACCTTTCCCTGACAAAAAGCCACGACTGAAACATACAGAATCAGTGAGCTGACTATTTTAATGCTTTAAATCAGGCCTTGCTTAGGCCACAGCAGACTGTTACTTCATTAATGAAGGAAAGCAAGCTTTAAGCGAGCACACAACAAATAGCCTGTTCACATAACAGTTTCTCATGCACTCTTTTGTGGAGTGTCTATATACTCAGATATGAAACATATACACACTATAGTTGTTTTATTTCAAAAGATTTATACAATATCAAATAGGCCCTGTCAAGCCTTTTAAACTGCCTGCTCCAATTTGAGAAGGTGTATCTATTTATATACAGGCTTAACCTCATCCCCCCAGCATTTCTCAGAAACTTTGTAATAAATCAAAACAAGTGTGCAGTTTTATCAGATGTATGTCAGTTCTCACCCTAATAAATTTGTATAGAAGTCTGAAGTTAGCATACAAATACATGCCCTACACCAAGGCAGGCAGTGCCAATTAAAGGCATATAAAGAAATATTAAACAAACCCCCACACAAACAACAAAAAAGCTTACCACGAAACTTAGGAATTAGTTCTCCTAAATTTCTCTGTCTCAACCAGTTGCAGACTTGATCAACCGACCAATTTTCCATCTTCAGGTGTTGCAATGCTAAATTTCACTGTGAAAGGAAAAGAGATTATTTTTATGCTGAACTCTAAACTGAACTCCAACTTTTCATAGGGGAAAAAAAATACACTCTAGCAAATAATGTTACATTTACATGCTCTGAATAACAACTGCCAAATAATCCAACTAATGCCTGTTGCAAGTAGCAGTTTCCTTGGATCCCTTTCTTCACCTCCTCTCCCTTCCCTGCTTTGCCTCTGCTCTAAGAGACAGCCTCATTCCTTATAAACACGACCTGCTCCAGTACCATTAACACCCAGGTTTCCACACAGAGAAGAAAAAAGGTGTGAAATTCACCACCACCACGCTTATCAGGAAATGGCTGATATTTTACAGAAAGAAAAAAAAAAAAAACCAACAAACCCCAAACCCAACCACCATCAGATAAGAGCCTGTCACGTACATGCTTATAGTAAATCAAGCACCTTAACTCCCTCTGCACCACCAAGCAGGTACTCAAGCAAACACTTAACCCTCAATTACCAACAATCACGGGCAATAAAGCTCCTGGAAAATGGAAGGGAGGGGACTACTCCTCCTGTTATTTGCGAGTCCCATCCTTCGGGCTCCAGCCCTCCCTGGGAAGATGCAGCAGCCGCCCTGGGAAGGAGGAGGGCGGGCAGAGGCTCCCCGGGAGCCGGCGGGGCCGGGGCGGCGACCCCGACCCCCGGGGGAATCCTTGTGTCCCCCTTCCCCGAAGGACGGGCTTGAATCGCGAGGGGGGTACATCCCATACCAAAATCAACAGCACCCTCCTCAAGGGACGATTACTTACGAAGACAAAGCTTGTCCTGCGCTGCCAACTCCTTGACAGCTGAAAACTCTCAGTGATTTTCTTATGAATGTATTTTAGCTCTACTACATACAGGAGCACCAAGTGTTCCATAACTATGCTCGCAATCCACAGCAAACAACATTAGAGCAAATTATTCAAGCAAGTTTTTCAGATGAGAACACGAGCGTCTGGCATCGTTGGCCAAACATTTCCTTCCTTACAATACGTCCACGCTCATACCCTGAGCCTGCGGTGAACTCCGGGCTGACATGAGGATTCATCCACACAAACCTCATCAGGATCTGGCCCACTGCACCACAAAACAATGTGCACCATCCTTGAATAGAAACACTTCCGTTTTCATCCTTCAACAAGAGATACCCCCCAAATAAATGCACTTCAGCTTATGCTCTTGTGCCAGTAGACTTCAGCAGCCTAAAAGGGTTAAGTTTAAGAGGAATGTCTTTCTGAATTACATGAGTGGATTTAATTTGATATGACAACAGTAGCCATGCAACTCCACCCCCAGGCTAAGCAGCAATAACAGGGTGTGAAAAGTCATTATTTGTTGAGAACTCTGGTGTAAATTAAAAATCACACCTTCCTGTCACACTTCTTACTTCCTTGCAAAGAGTAGGGCAAAAAAACAGGCTCCAAAACTTGAAAGATAAAACCAAATGCAAAGCAGAAAGATACTTGCCTTATCAACCAAGCAGTGTAAAAGTTAGAGAGATACATTAAAATGGTGGAAAGGTCACTGCTTCATCCTATAAGAAGACTAGCATCCTAGAACGCAGACATGCAGATACCAACATTGCAAAAAGTGGCAAGCGAACTACAGCCGCGCACTACCATACTCACATATAGCCCTGTGTGGCTGACTCTACAGCAAAATGTCCATTCGCACGTGGAAATGCAGGCTGTACACTTTAGGGGGAAGGAAGTGATGACAGTTTAGAGGCTGTTTTTAAAAAATCCGACAATCTGTATTAAGGGTCACTACACACAAATACTTAGAAATGCTTCTCAAAAGTTATTTCACTTACTTGCGTATACTATAGATAAAGGAGAAGGAAAAGAGCACACTAGCCTTCTAGCAGCATTATGGAGGCAACGAGAAAGACTGAGCATGGATGCTGATATTTGTCTTCACTAATGATTCGATTTATTACAGTAGCATCAAAAGACTATCCAGTGAAGAGTTCCCTGTGCTCAGTGTGGTAAAGCACGTGAATATTTATATTCTTCAATCAACTCTTAAAAGTCAGAACAACAAGAAACCAACAATGGCAACATTTTAAAGACAGACAGTACTTTAGCAATTTACAGCATAACTTCAAGTTAAGTTCAGACCAGTTCTAATTGTCGGTGATCCCTGTTTGCTGATAAATACAGCCAATCACTGGGACCCACTTCTTCAAACACCCAGGGTGAATGTCTATCATTAGGACTTAACCAGCCCTGGTTAAAGAAACTAAATAATGAAATGAATGAAAATTAATTTTCCTTAGGATGAATCAGGACAACACTTGCTTATACGGTAAAATTCTTCAAGACTGAAGGTTGAAAATCTTGGGTTTTAACCAGATCAGGCTAAAGACCTATCTATGGTACAGATTTCTGCTGGTGTAGTTGGTTAAACAATAGTGAGAGATGAGGTTCCTGACCAGCACGCCTGTGCTGGCAGGAGGTCCATACTGCTGCGCATGCACTAATTTACCATGCAGCTTGTTTTACGAGAAGATATAATGAGCTACCGTCAACTTGAAGTGACACTTCTAAATGAATAAACACATATGTCAAAACATTTTAGACAGGAAAAGTGAGTTATTATACCTACTTTACATGTTGACTTGTGAGAAAGAGTCTATGGCATCACAGACTACATTAGCCTTTAACAGGCCTCTACGTGGATGTCACTGGGGTCAGAATTAAGGTTAATTTTAGTACATTTTAGTGCAAGAGTGAGGAATGTGATGCGTGCACCTCTATACATCACAACAATGTGGCACATTTTGTACAGGGCCAGGTCTCAAAGTTGCAAGTGTGATGGGTAGGAATTGATGCATACCAAAGATAGAAGCAAAGTATCCGGTGTGCATTGTTTTAATGCTACCATATTTTGGTTTTAATTTTGTATGCATTACAGAGACTTTATTATTTCTTTCCACTTACTACCAACCTATTTTTAAAATAATTAAAAATATATTCAAGCAATTTTATAGAGGGCAGAATGTGTCACCTTGGATCCAGTGCTGAGTTATCATGAAAAGAACATCAGTTGTCCACAAACCTTTTCAATAAAATATAGGGAAACACTCCAAGAGAGCACCTCTGCCTCCCCCCCTCCAAGAAAATGCCAACAGCTTGTTGCTGACATTTATCACGCACATGCCAGCACAAAGCATTGCACTGAATGCTCACAGAAATGGCTGAATGAAGCACCGTGAGGGGAGGGGAAGAAAATTCAAATACCAATGTAGGAGCAAATCTCGAAGTGCACATTTCAGTTCTCATTTCCATGCTACTGCAGAGGAAGACACATGCAGCTGGAAGATCAGGAGACATACTAATACACAACAGATGCAAGAGAAAATCCGTATCACCTAAGAGTAAGGCTATATAAGAAGATTTAGGAAGAAAACATGCACAACTGTTACTCAGCTGTAGATCAAGAGGACCAAGCCAGACAGTGCTTCTAATCCTTGATCAGAGTTAAGGGGGATATCAAGAGGAACATGTCCATCTATTGAGCTTATCAAGCAGACAAATTCCTCTGCTGCAGAAATTAACTCTGAAGAATATTGCAAAAAATCAACTCTTTCCTTAATACATTTGCTTATGATTAAATATGCAGTTTCCATTTACTATATGAACTTTAAAAATATTTTCATCTGTACTATCTACAGTCCTACTGGAAAAATGAGCTGTCCCACTTCACCAACAAGATTCAACCCAAGTACAAAGTTTTCCTCTCTCTTACAGCTGTACAAATTATTTGGTAATTTGAAAGGAAGAAAAGAAAGTAAATTTCACTGTGTTTTAAGGTGATTTAATACTCGTACAGATGAGACTCTGTCCTTGCTATCACTGGCAACAGTGCACAAGCCATGATAATACAACTAGCTGTACAAGAAAATTGCTGTATTTTTTTAAGAACACAACTTCTGGAAATTAAGCCCCTGTAAAATCAAACCCTTTTATATTCAACTTCAAGAAAACTGTGTCAAATTAAAAATACAAGGTTACTGGATATTTAGAAGAGGGAAAAAAATCAAGTAAAGGCTAAAAATTAATGAATCACAAAAATGAAATCTCATATACCACAAAGAAAGCAATCAGGCTGAAGGTCTTCAGTACAGCACAGGGACTACTTCAGAAAACTAAAGAAAAAAAGTAATTTCTTCTTGCAAGTGATATCACACTGAATTTTCTTTTTTTTTTTTTTTTTCCCAGAACAGAAGTACAAATTTCTCACCAGGACCATCAGTACTTTTGATCACATCACTGTTTGTTGGCTTAGCAAAGGACTCCAGCTCCTATCACTGAGCAGTGCAGAGACCTCAGACACTTAAGCCCTGCAGTGTGATTCCACAGCAGCCTAAATCCCAGCAGTCATAATCCAGCCCCCTTCTTTGCAGCCTTCTGTGTGATCATGCAATCAGCAGCTCAGGCTAAGCTGAAAACATAATTTTTTTGATATGGGTGGGGTTTGGACGGATCAGTTCCTTTAACCAACTCCCTGGCCAATTGGGTGAAAATAGATGGTGGAACTGTATCCCTAGATTCAACTAGCAAGTGTAGAGATAAACAATGCATTGTAACTACGAAGATTTCTATCTTAATAGAGCATTGATTTATAAATCAGTTAGGCCAGAAACCCAAACTATGAGTAGCAACTATTCCACCTCCAAATAAAAATTGGGTAATGAACCCATCTCCTTTCCGTCAAATCATTTTACTTGACTCATACTGGCTCTGCTTCGTGCAAGGTTATTCTTGCTCCCATTCAAAGCCCATTCAAGCTTTCCTGGTGAATAAGACTCATGCTGATAAGATGAACACACATAATGAGGAGGCTAATCCATTAATTACTGAGAAAGATGGGTGCAAGGTTCTATTATTTGCTTGCTCCAGTCTTGATTTAGAACCATAAATCAGTTCAGAGCGCTGAACAAGCAGACGGTCAT